CTTTGCCCCCTCCCCTCTTTTTCCATACAACTTTGTCTATAGGTTTAAAATGAGTTTCCTGTAAACAATAGATATTATATTCCTTCTCTTTCAGCCAGGTAAAAACTGATTGTCTTTTCTTATTATCTGCTAAGCCATTACCATTATAACTAATTATACTTTGATTGTTTTGATTGTACTTACCATAATATATGTTTGTAAACTTACCATTAAGAAGGACCATGATAATTGAGTGTCCATATAGCTGTACCAGGATATTTGCACTGTTAAGCATACTGTAGCTGCGACTATGTAAACCTTTAACTGTCCTCCAAAATTCCACCTGTTAAAACCTCCCCCCATCCAAAGTTGGGTTGTCATTCCAGTGACAGGCTGACCATCCCTTTACACATGGATCCTAGGGCCTTTAAGAGATAGGGGCCCATCCTTTAAAAAGAGCACATGGTGCCACCTACAGTACAGAACCAGATCCACAGCCAACATAAGTTTGAACGCCTTCGCCATGGTTATATTGCATCTAGTTATTTAAAAACATATATACACACACAGGCACACACACACAACCACACACAAGCACAAACTCAAATGTTCAACAGTTGTTCAATCCCCTAGCCCAACTCAACAGAAGTCTTGATGGGTGAATGCGTAAACAGTTTGGCTGTTTAAGAAGGAATGGGAAGATTTGATTAACCAATATATGGTCCTAGCTGATGGAGCTCAGATACCCCCCTTCCCCACAACACCCACACACGCTGGTCCCCCGTTGTGACCCATTTTCCCAAGCACCTCTCTGCAGTCAGACCGTTTGATTATTCTGTATCGCCAGGGCCACAATAATATGCCCCCTCTCTGATTGTTCGAGTGTGACTCCCTCCCCATGGGTTACTGCAGCCAGTGTTGCCAGCACTGCCACTACCTGGGTGTGGTACTCCACCGGAATTCCTAACGGTGAGGTACAATGTCGTCAAGGTTCTCATTAGCAGCTTTGAGAAAATCCTTGTATATTATGCTCACCCATCAGGGGACTTTTCGACCAACCCTGCCAGGCAGGCTCAGACTCTTGAGGGGGCGGGGCTGCTTTAGTGGGTCTCTGACAGCGTTTACCTTTCTGTCATGGCTGCACAAGTTTTCCTGCATAGCTATAAAATCGGACTGTAGTTTTGGCACAGCCAGATCAACAGTCAGGGCAGTAGCATACATAATTGTCTTATCTGCATATAGATGAAGTTTACAATTTTTAACAGATTGACCATTGGTATTTATATAAATATTGATGAGAACAGGTCCCAAAATGGACCCCTATGGTACACCTTTATGTACTTCAAGAAACTCAGACTTATTCAATAAAATAGCATGATCAACGGTATCAAAAGCATTTGACAGGTCCACAAACAAAGCAGCACATTTTATTTTTGTTTCTAAAGGTCATTAACAAGCTCATTATCAACTAAAGTGGTTGCTGTAATAGTGCTGTGCCCAGGCGTAAACCCTAATTGGTTTACATTTAAAAAATACATTTCTCAGATAAAAAATAGCAAAGTTGTACATTTACCAAGGATTCAAGAAACGTAGCTAGACAAGGAAGCTCTGAAATGGGCCGATAGTTATTAAGATCACCACTATCCCCGAACTTATGGAGTGGCAGCACGAGCTGATTTCAATACTTTCTGAATATTTCATGATAACAATGTTAAATAAAATTATTGAGCCAACAGAATCATATTTTGCGTTATTTGTGTGCTTTCTTAACCAAAAAGTACGTTTATGTGTGTTTACATTACCAAAATATTGGCTGTGCACATTTTTATTTGATATTCTGTTTAGCAGTAATTTAATTGATGTTTCCTTGCAATTGAAACACTGATAAGATATTTATTTCCAATTGGCATAGGATGTGTAAAGAGTTGTAGTTTGTCCTCAGATTGCATAAGACATACGGTTGTAGTCAGAAGTTTAAATACACCTTAGCCAAATACATTTAAACTAAGTTTGTCACAATTCCTGACATTTAATCCTAGTAAAAATGTCCTGTTTTAGGTCGGTTAGGATCACCACTTCATTTTAAGAATGTGAAATGTCAGAATAATAGTAGAGAGAATTATTTCTTTCAGCTTTTATTTCTTTCATCACATTCCTAGTGTTCAGAAGTTTGCATACGCTCAATTAGTATTTGGTAGCATTGCCTTTAAATTGTTTAACTTGGGTCAAACGTTTCGGGTAGCCTTCCACAAGCTTCCCAAAATAAGTTGGGTGAATTTTGGCCCGTTCCTCCTGACAGAGCTGGTGTAACTGAGTCAGGTTTGTAGGCCTCCTTGCTCGCACACGCTTTTTCAGTTCTCCCCACAAATGTTCTATAGGATTGAGGTCAGGGCTTTGTGATGGCCACTCCAATACCTTGACTTTGTTGTCCTTAAACCATTTTGCCACAACTTTGGAAGTATGCTTGGGGTCATTGTCCATTTGGAAGACCCATTTGTGACCAAGCTTTAACTTCCTGACTGATGTCTTGAGATGTTGCTTCAATATATCCACATAATTTTCCTTCCTCATGATGCCATCTATTTTGTGAAGTGCACCAGTCCCTCCTGCAGCAAAGCACCCCCACAGCATGATGCTGCCACCCCCGTGCTTCACAGTTGGGATGGTGTTCTTCGGCTTGCAAGCAACCCCCTTTTTCCTCCAAACATAATGATGGTCATTATGGCCAAACAGTTATATTTTTGCTTCATCAGACCAGAGGACATTTCTCCAAAAAGTACGATCTTTGTCTCCATGTGCAGTTGCAAACTGTAGTCTGTCTTTTTTATGGCGGTTTTGGAGCAGTGGCTTCTTCCTTGCTGAGTGGCCTTTCAGGTTATGTCGATATAAGACTCGTTTTACTGTGGATACAGATACTTTTGTACCTGTTTCCTCCAACATCTTCGTAAGGTCCTTTGCTGTTGTTTTGGGATTGATTTGCACTTTTAGCACCAAAGTACGTTTATCTCTAGGAGACAGAGCATGTCTCCTTCCTGAGCATTATGACAGCTGCATGGTCCCATGGTGTTTATACTTGTGTACTATTGTTTGTACAGATGAACGTGGTACCTTCAGGCATTTGGAAATTGCTCCCAAGTATGAACCAGACTTGTGGAGGTCTACAAGTTTTTTTCTGAGGTCTTGGCTAATTTCTTTTGATTTTCCCATGATGTCAAGCAAAGAGGCACTGAGTTTGAAGGTTGGCCTTGAAATACAGCCACAGGTACACCTCCAATTGACTCAAATTATGTCAATTAGCCTATCAGAAGCTTCTAACGCCATGACATCATTTTCTGGAATTTTCCAAGCTGTTTAAAAGGCACAGTCAACTTAGTGTATGTAAACTTCTGACCCACTGGAATTGTGATATAGTGAATTATAAGTTAAATAATCTGTCTGTAAGCAATTGTTGGAAAAATTACTTGTGTCATGCACAGAGTAGATGTCCTAACCGACTTGCCAAAACTATAGTTTGTTAACAAGAAATTTGTGGAGTGGTTGAAAAACAAGTTTTAATGACTCCAACCTAAGTGTATGTAAACTTCCGACTTCAACTGTACGTTTCATTTAGTCATGTCATTTGTTTAGGCTCCTGATACAAAATAAGTTAAACATGCTGCTGTTTATTCTTTATCACTGTGGCCATTCACCGGTGTCATTGGGCACTGGTCAGTTAGTATTCAGTGGGTATTTGTCTCGAGTAATGTCCATATATTCCCATTAGGATTGACAACATGCATGTAATTATGTTGTTAATTAACCGGTCAACACAGCTCAGTCTCATTCTAGGGTCACCTTTAGAAATGGACGCAACCTTTTGTTATGCAGTCATGTAGTCAGACGTTTATGAATATGTCTGTTCTATTTGGATTGAAAACAATCCCGCTCGTGCGCTACCCCTGTGTCTTCAAAATTGCAGACTATTCCGTATGGTTTATAGGTGAATTTTGAGAGTAAAGTAGTGCATTATATAGGGAAAGGTGGTATTTTGAGTCAAAATTAGTGCACAATATAGTGAATATATGCACATGGATAGTGCACAAGAGCATGGTACAATGTTTTCGATTCTAGTCAAAGTAGTGCACTGTATTGGGCAGCGTTCTCCAACCTTGTTACTGGAAAGCTACCGTCCTGTAGGTTTTCACTAATCCAGCACACGATTCTAATAATTGCCTGGTTGATAAGCTGAATCAGGTAACTTACAACTGGGGTTGGAGCGAAAACCTGCAGGAGGGTAGCTCTCCAGGACCAGGGTTAGAGAGCCCTGATACAGGGAATAGGGCATTTGTATTCAAATCCGAGCCGGGAGGTCTAGAGTATTGCTGGTTTTGTGTTCTACCTGATCATTAATTGCACTGACCTGCTGTCCCAGGTCTAAATCAGTCCTTTATTAGAGGGGAAGAATACGTATTTGCAGTGGAGCTGGCTTCGAGGTCCAAATGAGAATTTGCCTGGAATATGGTGTGATTGTCTATGTGACACTTTTACGCTGAATGCGCTCTCTCTCCTCACCTGTGTGTATGACAGGTGTCATGGAGCGAATGACGCAAATTAGTCTACGAGTCATCGAGGAACATTTATTGGTTGACGGGAATAACCAAAGTAATGAATTATCCCAGGAGTGAATTACTTTATTAATGTTTATTGTGTGACTTAAATAAGTTATGGCACAAGTTATTGAAGTGTGTGTTTATGTAAAACTGTTGTTTTATGATGTTAATTACGCATTTATGGTAGAAATGTGTTATAGGGCTGTCATGATGGAACATTCCTAGCTGAAGGGAGTTCCTGGAAAGAGTACTTAGGTGCTATTGCCTGGGGTAGAGCAGGCTGGGCAGATAACATTTTCTGTACAAAGTTTATGGGCCAATTAGTCCTGCACCTGTTAATAATGTAAATAAAAGCCTCTAAGAGAGGTAAGCACCAGAACATCCTGTCTGTCTCCTCAATGTCCGATCCGCCGCTTCGGCTTCTTCACACAGGTCTCCATGACTATGATGAGTCCTCAGCAGATGCAGCAGCTTCTGTCCCCGGGTCAGCTCCAGGCTCTGCTCCAACAACAGCAACATGCTATCCTGCTCCAGCAGGTACAGCACAATCCAATCAACATTACTATACTATGCTGTATTACTATACTATTTGGTATTTTATTAGGATCCCCATTAGATGTTGCAAAAGCAGCAGCTACTCTTCCTGGGGTCCACACAAAACATGAAACATGACATAATACAGAACATTAATAGACAAGAACAGCTCAAGGACAGAACTACATCAATTAAAAAATAATTTACTATACTATACTACAGAGGTCTTCAACCTTTTCTTGCCCAGGGACCACCGCCCAGCCAATCCGGCGACCCAGCGACCCCCATCATATGTTAGCAAAACATGTTTTTTCCCACATGTCTTGTCTTATTGTCCTGTGAATGGTAATGGAAAAGACAAGTAATCAACATTTTAAAATGAATAGATTTGGTAGATAATTTTTCATTATTTTGACCTCCCCACACTATAATTGGAAGAAGAGTAAACTTGCAGCATAGCCTATTGCTAGAAAAGGTAACTCCATCCCAGGGCTGTGACGTTTATGGAATTTGGGGTAACGATTAATTGCCATGCAAATTCCCACAATTATTGTCATATTTTGTTATTTTTGTTGAAAAAAGTTTTGAGCTTGTAATGCATCTTTGAAAATTATCTACGACAAAGCTAATGAATACAACACGGCTTTGGTGACACCCCTGTCTCAAAAACAAATGGTTTTGACAGCTTACAACTTTTGGAAATGAAGCTTCTCCTCCCAACTGTGTCATTCTGCTCGTAAAAATGATTACCAACTTTACCCACTTTAAAAACTGATACTGGGTAAACTATATCTACTTGATTATAAAGTTGAATCCACCCTTCTCCTAAATGAATGTATTAATACGATAATTGTGTCAGCCCAAACTCATGTTCGCTAATAGCAGCTGTTTAGCTGGTTAAACAAGGTTTGTATTTGTATTTATTATGGATCCCTATTAGCTGCTGCCAAGGCAGCAGCTACTCTTCCTGGGATCCGGTAAAATTAAAGCATTTATACCATTTTAAAACATCCAGAGTGATGCAGCGGTCTAAGGCACTGCATCTCAGTGCTTGAGGCGTCACTACAGACCCCTGGTTCGATTCCAGGCTGTATCACAACCAGCTGTGATTGGGAGTCCCATAGGGCAGCGCACAATTGGCCCAGGGTCGTCCGGGTTTGGCCGGTGTAGGCCGTCATTGTAAATGAGAATTTGTTCTTAACTGACTTGCGTAGTTAAATAAAAGGTTAAATAAAAAAATAAAAAATAAAAAACTATACGTTCATAACAGATTTCACAACACACTAAGTGTGTGCCCTCAGGTCCCTACTCCACTACAATATATCTAAAACACAAAATCTGTGTGTGTATAGTGCGTATGTTATCATGTGTCTGTGCCTATGTTTATGTTGTTTCACAGTTGCCACTGTTCCATAAGGTGTATTTAAATCTGATTCTGCTGCTTGCATCAGTTACCTGATGTGGAATAGAGTTCCATGTAGTCATGGCTCTATGTAGTATTGTGCGCCTCCCATAGTCTGTTCTGGACTTGAGGACTGTGAAGAGACCTCTGGTGGCACATCTTGTGGGGTATGCATGGGTGTCTGAGCTGTATGCTAGTTTTTTAAACAGACAGCTCGGTGCTTTCAACATGTCAATACCTCTCACAAATACAAGTAGTGATGAAGTCGATCTCTCCTCCACTTTGAGCCAGGAGAGATTGACATACATATTATTAATGTTTGTTCTCTGTGTACATCCGAGGGCCAGCCGTGTTGCCATGTTCTGAGCCAATTGCAATTTTCCTAATTCCCTCTTTGTGGCACCTGACCACACGACTGAACAGTAGTCCAGGTGTGACTAAACTAGAGCATGTAGGACCTGCCTTGTTGATAGTGCTGTTAAGAAGATAGAGCAGTGCTTTATTATGGACAGACTTCTCCCCATCCTAGTTACTGTTGTATCAATATGTTTTGACCATGACAGTTTACAATCCAGGGTTACTCCAAGCAGTTTAGTCACCTTAACTTGCTCATTTTCCACATTATTTATTACAAGATTTAGTTGAGCTTTATGGTTTAGTGAATGATTTGTCCCAAATACAATGTTTTTTTTTTATATTTAGGACTAACTTATTCCTTGCCACCCATTCTGAAACTAACTGCAGCTCTTTGTTAAGTGTTGCAGTCATTTCAGCCACTGTAGTAGCTGACGTGTATAGTGTTGAGTCATCTGCATACATAGACACACTGGCTTTACTCAAAGCATTAGTAAAGATTCAAAAAAGTAAGGGGCCTAGACAGCTGCCCTGGGGAATACTGAATTATACCTGGATTATGTTGGAGAGGCTTCCATTAAAGAACACCCTCTGTGTTCTGTTAGACAGGTAACTCTTTATCCACAATATAGCAGGGGATGTAAAGCCATAACACATATGTTTTTCCAGCAGCAGACTATGATAGATAATGTCAAAAGCTGCACTGAAGTCTAACAAAACTTTTTATCATCAATTTCTCTCATCCAATCATCAGTTATGTGTGTAAGTGCTGTCCTTGTTGAATGCTCTTCCCCACAAGCGTGCTGAAAGTCTGTTGTAAATTTTCTTTACTGTAAAATAGCATTGTATCTGGTCAAACACATTTTTTTCCAGAAGTTTACTAAGGGTTGGTAACAGGCTGATTGGTCGGCTATTTGAGCCAGTAAAGGGGCTTTATTATTCTTTGGTAGTGGAATTACTTTTGCTTCCCTCCAGGCCTGAGGGCACACACTTTCTAGTAGGCTTAAATTGAAGATATGGCAAATAGGAGTGGCAATGTCGTCTGCTATTATCCTCAGTAATTTTCCATCCACGTTGTCAGATCCCGGTGGCTTGTCATTGTTGATAGACAACAATCATTTTTTTATATTTTCCGGAATTTTAACCACTTTCCGGGGATTTAAACGTTTTTACAGTCATTTTCTTAATGGGTGCAAGCTTATTAGTAACTGGGATAAGCATTTTCATAAATGTGTCAACCTCAATGTCTGTTTGCTCTTCATTACACACCACGGACCAACAAATATTCTTTACATCAACAACAAAGGAATCACTACAAAACTTATTGTATGACTTCTTATACACTATATTATGCCCAGCCTTTGGAACTAGATATGGCTACTATATTATATCACTACAGCCCATGGATTTGGATACTGCCTTCAAGCACATTTCTGCAGTATTAGTAAAGATGTGATCAATACATGTTGATGATTTAATTCCTGTGCTGTTTGTAACTACCCTGGTTAGCAATGTGTTGGAAAAGTGTATGTCCAACTGAAGAGTTTATTGCCAAAACGCTATACACTGAGTGCACAAAACATTATGAACACCTGCTCTTTCCATGACTTAGACTGACCAGGTGAATCCAGGTGAAAACTATGATCCCTTATTGATGTCACTAACTATTATTTACAATAACGGCCTACCCCGGCCAAACCCAGACGACGCTGGGCCAATTGTGCGCCGCCCTATGTCACTTGTTAATCCACTTCAGTCAGTGTAGATGATGGGGAGGAGACAGGTTAAAGAAGGATTTTTAAGCCTTGAGCCAATGGAGACATGGATTGTGTATGTGTGCCATTCAGAGGGTGAATGGGCAAGACAAAATATTAAAGTGCCTTAGAACAGGGTATGATAGTAGGTGCCAGGCACACCGGTTTGTGTCTAGAACTGCAACTCTGCTGGTTTTTTTTGACACTCAACTGTTTCCCCATGTGTATCAAGAATGGTCCACCACCCAAAGGATATCCAGCCAACTTGACACAACAGTGGGAAGCATTGGAGTCAACATGGGCCAGCATCCCTGTGGAACGCTTTCGACACCTTGTAGAGTCCATGCCCCGATGAATTGAGTCTGTTTTGAGGGGGGGGGGGGGGTGCCCAACTCAATATTAGGATGTGTTCCTAATGTTTCGTACACTCAGTGTATATCAATTTTCCCAAATGTTGGTAAATTAGCATTTTTTGTTTAAAGAACTTATGAAAGAGATTGGTGTGTTTTTTTAACTATCTAATCATGACATGGGGTTGTTCAATGAAAGACGTATTTGTTTGAAATCGATCAATTGATGGTTACATTTCAGAGAGACATGTTTTTTTGCAAAACGCCATATATCTGCCTCACTCTGAGAAATAAATAGTACTGCTAGGTTTTATACTATAAAACACGTAGTTATTTGTTACATTTGACTAAGAACTGCACAAATAATACATTTGTGACGGCAAAATATGTTTTGCATTAATCAATACAGTAATGAGATCTGTATATAAAACATTTACATTTGACATTTTAGTAATTTAGTAAATGCTCTTATCCCGAGTGACTTACAGTTAGTGCATTCACATATCATCAGTAAATGAACATTTCATTCCAGCTAGACAATGGATAGTGTTTTGCAAAAAACAACATTTTAATACACACCTAAAAGTTATTAATAAAAAATCTGAGCACAGTAATATTTTACACACACATGAAGGTACCAATAAACAATCATTTCTGGCAACAACAAAAAAAAAAACACAAATGTTAAAAATTTGTGGATTTAACATTTCGGAAATAAACTCTCCAAGTCAAGAAAGCTTGCCAGCAGCCAGCGTCACTTACCGCGACTGGTACTTTCGGGTGCTTTTTCAAAGCCTATGTCATATACTCCAGTGAGTGAAATTAGCTCCAATCAGTATAATTTGCTCAATATTCGGAGTTGAGAAATAAAGTTGACGTCATTAGAAAGAAGATATTCACCCCTTTTATACTATAGGTATGTAATTTTAAAAAAATGTCGGTTGTTGCTAGTGAAATTCATAAAAACATTGCAATAAAATAAATCCACTTTTTTAAAAATATATATTTTCACGGACACCCTGTAGTCCCTCCGCAGACCCCCGGTTGAACGCCCCTGCTATACTATATGATACTATAATGTAATGTCACTGTTCCAGGCTGTAGTCCCCACCTGCTTTAAGGAGACCACCATCATCCCAGTGCCCAAGAAAAACAAGGTGACATGTCCAAATGACTATAGCTCCATCGCACTCAACTCGGTCATCATGAAGTGCTTTGAGAGGCTGGTCATGGCCCACATCAAGCCCAGCATGCCAGGCACACTGGACCCACTCCAATTTGCCTACCGCTCCAACAGATCCACGGAAGATGCCATTTCCATCGCTATTCATTCACTATTCATTCGACAAGAGGAACACCTACTGTATGTGAGCATGCTGTTCAGCATTCAACACTATTGTTCCCTCCAAGCTTGACACCAAGCTCAGAGCCCTGGGTCTGGACACCACCCTCTGCAGCTGGATCCTGGACCTCCCGAAGGGCAGACCACAGGCTTTGAGGATTGGCAACAACACTTCCTCCACACTGACTCTTAACACAGGGACTCCCCAGGCGTCTGTCCTCAGTCCTCTGCTGTACTCCCTGTTCACCCACGACTGGTTGGCTTTGCACGACACCAACTCCATCATCAAGTTTGCTGATGACACCACGATTGTAGGCCTGATAACCAACAACGACGAGTGAGCCTATAGGGAGGAGGTAAGTGAACTGGCATTATTTTGTAATGACAACAACCTCTCCCTCAACGTAAGCAAAACAAAGGAATTGATTGTTGACTTCAGGAAGCAGAGGAGGGAACATGCCCCGATCCACATCAATGGGACTGCAGTAGAGAGAGTTTTAAGTTCCTCGGCATCCACATAAAAGAGGACTATTTATGGACCAACAACACCACCACTCTTGTCAAGAGGGCGCAACAGTGTCTCTACTTCCCAACGTGGCTGAAGAAATTCGGCATGCCTGCTCCAGGTCCTCTCCACATACTACCGCTGCTGTTCTCTCCCTTACTGTGGGGCAGATGGTATCGAAGCATGAGGTCTGATACCAACAGGCTCAGAGACAGTTTCGATCTACAAGGCATCAGACTGCTGAACACTTGAACTGGACTGACCACCTGCTCTGATTCTCCGCACCTTAGCACACATGCACTCATTCATGCACACACACACACACATACATTCATGCTGAACACACATCACAACTGCTGCTACCAGACTCTTATTATAATGCTCAGTTTATACACTGCCCCCCTCCCTCCCTCCAATACACATGTAAATACAGTGGGGTAAAAAAAGTATTTAGTCAGCCACCAATTGTGCAAGTTCTCCCACTTAAAAAGATGAGAGAGGCCTGTAATTTTCATCATAGGTACACGTCAACTATGACAGACAAATTGAGAAAGAAAATTCCAGAAAATCACATTGTAGGATTTGTAATGAATTTATTTGCAAATTATGGTGGAAAATAAGTATTTGGTCAATAACAAAAGTTTATCAATACTTTGTTATATACCCTTTGTTGGCAATGACACAGGTCAAACGTTTTCTGTAAGTCTTCACAAGGTTTTCACACACTGTTGCTGGTATTTTGGCCCATTCCTCCATGCAGATCTCCTCTAGAGCAGTGGTGTTTTGGGGCTGTCGCTGGGCAACACGGACTTTCAACTCCCTCCAAAGATTTTCTATGGGGTTGAGATCTGGAGACTGGCTAGGCCACTCCAGGACCTTGAAATGCTTCTTACGAAGCCACTCCTTCGTTGCCCGGGCAGTGTGTTTGGGATCATTGTCATGCTGAAAGACCCAGCCACGTTTCATCTTCAATGCCCTTGCTGATGGAAGGAGGTTTTCACTCAAAATCTCACGATACACGGCCCCATTCATTCTTTCCTTTACACGGATCAGTCATCCTGGTCCCTTTGCAGAAAAACAGCCAAAAAGCATGATGTTTCCACCCCCATGCTTCACAGTAGGTATGGTGTTCTTTGGATGCAACTCAGCATTCTTTGTCCTCCAAACACGACGAGTTGAGTTTTTACCAAAAAGTTCTATTTTGGTTTCATCTGACCATATGACATTCTCCCAATCCTCTTCTGGATCATCCAAATGCACTCTAGCAAACTTCAGACGGGCCTGGACATGTACTGGCTTAAGCAGGGGGACACGTCTGGCACTGCAGGATTTGAGTCCCTGGCGGCGTAGTGTGTTACTGATGGTAGGCTTTGTTACTTTGGTCCCAGCTCTCTGCAGGTCATTCACTAGGTCCCCCCGTGTGGTTCTGGGATTTTTGCTCACCGTTCTTGTGATCATTTTGACCCCACGGGGTGAGATCTTGCGTGGAGCCCCAGATCGAGGGAGATTATCAGTGGTCCTGTATGTATTCCATTTCCTAATAATTGCTCCCACAGTTGATTTCTTCAAACCAAGCTGCTTACCTATTGCAGATTCAGTCTTCCCAGCCTGGTGCAGGTCTACAATTTTGTTTCTGGTGTCCTTTGATAGCTCTTTGGTCTTGGCCATAGTGAAGTTTGGAGTGTGACTGTTTGAGGTTGTGGACAGGTGTCTTTTATACTGATAACAAGTTCAAACAGGTGCTATTAATACAGGTAACGAGTGGAGGACAGATGAGCCTCTTAAATAAGAAGTTACAGGTCTGTGAGAGCCAGAAATCTTGCTTGTTTGTAGGTGACCAAATACTTATTTTCCACCATAATTTGCAAATAAATTCATTAAAAATCCTACAATGTGATTTTCTGGATTTTCTTTTCTCAATTTGTCTGTCATAGTTGACGTGTACCTATGATGAAAATTACAGGCCTCTCTCATCTTTTTAAGTGGGAGAACTTGCACAATTGGTGGCTGACTAAATACTTTTTTTCCCCACTGTATTGGACTATAAATTGTGCCTTCATGTATTATACTTATGCTAAAATGTTTATTCTATTCTACTGAGCCATTTACTTTATGTTCGTATTCTTATCTTTTATTATTTCCTATTGTTGTTGCATTGTTGAGAAGTAACCCACAAGTAAGTAAGTGTTGCAGTACTTGAAACTTGTCTTGCATAATCTGTCCAACTAAAATGCATATTGCGTGTGTTTCTACGCTAGTGGACAATGAGGCCAAGATTAGGTGTCCATATTAGGACAGCCTCAGAGTCACTCGGACTACAGCACAGCCTCAAAACTCCAAGTGACACTGACACAACTTCTATGGACGTGTGAATATGAACACTGTAAACATAGACACTGAACCCTTAGCATCTCTCACTCACTCTCTCACTCAGCTCTCTAGGCAGCAGCTAGTGTTCCAGCAGCTCCTCCAGCAGCAGCTGTTCAAAGTGCAGAGACCAGGCCTGGCCTCCCACACCTTGTCTCCAGGTAAATCCTCTCTACTGTAGCTAACTCCTTGGTTTACTTAGCGCCGGGGTTCCCAAACTTTTTTGGCCCGTGACCCCATTTTGATATTTTAAAAAAATCACGGCCACACCAAAAAAAGTAATGAAATCAACAGCCAATGTTTACTTTTTTATTTGGGGCTATGACAGTCTATTACAAATCAGTCTGACAGTACTTTCAATCTGAAGGAAGTATGGTTTGAAGGGTAACGTTTTACTTTGACCTCACAGCCATTACGCATTCATTACACCTCTATAAACATTTAATGATTGTTATAAAAGGTCCCAACCGCATTATTAAAGGTTCATGAAATATTTTCATAGTATATCTATAGAGCATTCATGACATGCTATGCAAGAGCTCATATTTAGGTATCGTGATAGATGTAGTGTCCTCATTATAGCTGTTCTCAAAACTGTGTTTTATATATTATGCTGATATATAGCCTATACCAGCCCCATTTCCCCCACCGGCCAGTTTACTACTAATACAGCTACTACTACTACTACTACTACTACTCCTCGAGGTCAATTGTGCATGAAGATCCCCACACGGTTAAATCCTCAGGGTAAATTTTATGGATCAAATTGCGTATTTGAGGGTCATATCAAAACTTTATCGTAAGTCATTACCAGCCCTCCTCCACATCAGTATTAAGTTGGTCATACTGGTCTATAACGCACACATGAAGGGTCTATGTATGAATTCTATGCAGTCAATGTAAAGTAAAATCTATTTTCCCATTCATAAAGCATTTATAAACATTACTCACTTATCAAAAAGAATATGGACACAACACAGAATGTTAATAAAAAATGTACTTTTCCTTAGAATTTACCAGATGTAATGTTAGCTAGCGCTGAGGACCTCGCCGAAGAATCCTTGCTACAATTTACACTATTTTTTTTTCTTTAATAGATTGAACAAAGATTCATATTCAAACCATTCAAATTCAATTGCCCAATTCAGACTCATAACAATAACTATTATAGTGTGTAAAATGTTCTAACACAGGGTGGTAAAGCTAGATATGAGGTCTTTCATAGCATAACATGAATGCGCTATAGATATATTTCATTAACCTTTAATAATGCATTTCGGACCTGTTCTAACACATTCATGAAATGCTTATAGATGTGTAATGAATGCATATTGGATGTAGTCAAAGTAAAATTTTGTTACCTCAGAATATCATCCGGCAATTGTGTATGATCTTCTGTGTAGAAATGAACACAATCATTGCTTTCAATTATGTTCCCCCCCGCATTTAGCGGATATCGGAGGTTACTCACGTTACCACAGTTCTATGAACCAAGCAGCGCATGTCATTATTTTCCAGAGTTTCCCTCGCGACCCCATTTTCAAATCAGGCGACCCAACATATTCTCATCAAGTAGACTCTTAAATCTTCCCTTACTTCCACTGCTCAGAAAGACTCAAGTATGACTATACCCCTACCTACACATACTCTCTCCCTAAAGCTATACCCTTTAACCCCAGTGTTGCAAGGTAATATTGTACATGTATGTCTGTGTGTTTCAGCTGGCTTGAGTACTATTGAGCTCCAGCAGATATGGAAGAAGCTGACCAATGGCACAATGGAAGATAAAAGCACAAAGGCTAGCTGTCCAGACCGTTTCACCGCCACCACCAGCACCCTGTCCCCTACTGAACCCATAACCACAGCCAAAGCATCAATGTCAACCACCCACAACTTCCCTACCAACGGCCAATATCTTAGTTCCAGCCCAGGACAAGGGTAAAGCATTCTCCATAACACTTTACAATAAAGGTATATGGATTAGAACCCTTACGGCACATGTGTCAAGCATTAAGGCCAGCTGGCCGAATCCGACGCATGACACATTTCTATCCGGCCTGCGCAATTATTTGGGTTGTCAATTCATTTTGGCCAGCTTCCATACAGCCCGCAATGCTCTGCACTACAAGTCACAGCAAGCACTGCCAACGTGCTGCACGCCAAATGGCAGTGCATTGCCACACACACACCCCTCTTCCCAACCCACACACACTCACCAGCCATCCAGTGCACTGTACCATATCATCACTAATGGCATTGACCAAATATTCTACCAGACCAAAAGTTTAAAGGTGTTGTAGGCTAAATGTCCATGCCAAGTTTCGGTTCCAACAGAAAATATAATCTTGGTTGTCAAAAAGTTATATGATGCAGTAAAGGATTCACACGCGTTTATAAATTACTGTACTATTAAAGTACAATAGTACACACAAGTGAGTATAAATGAGTCAACAGTTGAGTCATCTACTTTATGAAAATGATGTGCTCACATCTGTGAATTCAACATCGATTGTGCTGCTTTCGTGTGTATGGAGGGAAAGTGTACAGACACATGGCACAGTCCTAGCTAAGCTACTAAAATGTTGCACTCTGGCTTTGGTTTTAAAAGCTTGACAATGAATAACCAAAAAACTAAACCTGCAACAAATCACCATGCAACGGAGAAACATGTAGGCCTATTACAGCAACATTTAAGTAGTTGCCTAGGCTGGCTAGTCAACTACAAGACATTTTGAGTGCACCATACAGAAATGCTGCATTCAACCACACCAGAAACATGTTTTAATTTTAAATGTTAAACCAACCTAACTACATTTTTGTTATTTGGAGTTATTAAATACTTTTTGATTAGGGTCACAGCATATTATGCAAGTATAGCAGCAAAGGCTGCACAAATATTATTGGTCTTATTTTGTTTTAAGATGTTAAAAATGCTTTACACAACGGGTGGGTCTAATCCTGAATGCTGATTGGTTAAAAGCGTATTCCAGCCGGTGTCTATTCCACAAGTTACCACCGGCTAAATCTATGACATTAAAATGCCTATTTACCCTGTTCTATCTGACTGCGCAATCCACTGTCTAATCAGAACAGCCAAGCAATTAATAAACTTGATCTCCACCATAAAAAGCATCTAGACATTATCTTACATTTCTTTTAGACTAACATTTAGTTTTCATCTTCGTCATATATACATAAGTGGACATTATGAAGAGCCATATTTTTTTAATAAAACAATGGACAGTTTGGGTTGCAGTTGTATGCAAAAAAATAAAAAGATAATAGGCTATGTCTTGCCCACGAATTTGTTGTATTTTCTCAATATGGCCCTTGTGCTGATTGAGTTTGAGACCCCTGCCTTAGGGTAAAGTGGTACCACTTTCTCTGTGCAGCCTACTGAAAAAATACAGTTAAAACGGTCTGTTTGTAAACATCAATGAAGATGTTAGCCACAGACAGCTTCACTTACCCAAGTCGTTTGTTCTCAATTTTAGTAAGAGTGCACGTTTATTCCCACTGGGACTACGTATTTTGTTTGTTTGTTGTTTTGCTTTAGGTTTTTATCAGCAAAATCTGTAGTAACGTTTATAGTAAAACACTGTAGCAGCTTGTTCAAAATCAAAAGCAAGGTGTTTTTCATTTTGATTTTAACCCCTCATTGTTCCTCATACGCTGTAAAAAAAAAAGAAAAAAATATATATATATTATTTTTGTTTTTAATGTTTTATCTTTATGATGCTGATGCTCTTTTGTATGTGTAACCCTTCCTCCTGTACCTACAGCTTGCTGAATGTGGATCGAGCAATCATACACTCACTCTATGGATATGGTGTGTGTAATTGGCCGGGCTGTGAGTCTGTTTGTGAAAACATCAGCCAGTTTATCAAGTACGTTTTCCTATGGAGAGTGTATGTATAGTGTATAAACTCGGAGAGCAGTTTCTGTGTGCGCGTGTGTGTGTATCACCCCAGTAACTCATGTGAGCGTTCTCAGGCACCTGAGTATTGAGCACATGCTGGATGACAGGAGCACGGCCCAGTGCAGAGTCCAGATGCAGGTGGTGCAGCAGTTAGACCTCCAGGTGAGTGAGTGAGTGAGTGAGTGAGTGAGTGAGTGAGTGAGTGTGTGAGAGACACTGTTGTGACGGAGTACCTCAGCTCAAACTACTCTGGGGTCTCTTCACCTCCTCTCGCTCCCTCTATCCCTTGGTACCTTTCTCTCTCCTCTCCCTCCCTCTTTCCTCCTCCTCTTGCACTCTCTCTCCTCCTTTCTCGCTCCACCTCTCCTCTATCAGCTCTCTAAAGAACGGGACCGTCTCCAAGCTATGATGGCCCACTTGCACCTGTCACCTTTGGAACCACAGTCCCCTTCCAAACCTGTAAGTATACAGACAGACCACACGTAAAAAGCCTATAGTATCTCACAGAAAATGACCTATTCAGTCAACAGGTATAACGCGCTTTGAAGAATGACGAGTTGTGAACAACAGAGAAATAGCTATATGATTCTAAATTGTATGGTTCTTTAGAGATAATGCTATACCATAAATATCCCATCAGAAATCCAAGTATAGGTGTAGGTGACACTATACACGAGCATGAGCAGGCAAATGATACCTACTGTATGCGTCCCAAATAGCCCTGAGTATACAAAACATTAAGAACACCTGCTCTTTCCATGACATAGACTGACCAGACCACGCTCACCAGTTTCCTGTGTGTATCAAGAATGGTCCACCCAAAGGACATCCAGCCAACTTCACACAACTGTGGGAAGCATTGGAGTCAACATGGGCCAGCATCCCTGTGGAACGCTTTGGACACCTTGTAGAGTCCATGCGCCGACAAATTGAGTCTGTTCTGAGGGCAAAAGGGGATGCAACTCAATATTAGGAAGGTGTTTGTAATGTTTCGTACACTCAGTTGATATGAGTCCAGATCTATAATAAGTGAGGTTATATCTGATTGTAAAAGGTGCAGCATGGGATGAAAGCACCAACAGTTCTGCCCCTTTGGCCTGGAGTGAATGAGGGAAACCGTCATAGTCCTTGTGGATCTCTTAGCGGCCTACAAGGGGAGTCAGACTTCTCTTATCAGGATCACTGGGCCTAGAGAACACTAACAGAGGCTATTGTAAAAATTTGATGTGTAAGCAATTGTTGAGCAAAAGGTGCCTGCGTGTGTATATGAAAAGCTAAGGTGACATTTGACCTCTACCAACCACATCAAAATGGAAGATGAGAGATTTTAGTTAGTCATTTTTGAGAGAATGTTTTCAAATGGACTCAACAGGTTGCCCACATTCAATTGGTATTGCTTTTTCAGAAGATGACTGTCCTTCATTATATTTCTTTATTAAGGGTTCACAGCGAAGCTGTGAAACCTTTTGTTATTCTCTGAATGCTATTTTTTTTCTTGACATGGTCAAAAAACTCAAGCATAGATTAACTTGGCATTCAGAAAGTAGAGGCCATGAGTAAGTTGGTTAAAAAATAATGTCACCGATTGGCCTATAGCTGGTGCTGTTATAACCAGTCTCACTTAAACCCTCATATCCGCTGCCCCGTTTGACCTAGAGACTTGAAACGTTGTATGTAGGTGTCTTTATTCATGCTGAACCAATTTGCCTCAAGGTTGTTTCATAACTGATATTTCCTATAAAATAAAAACTTGTTCAAATCATTGATCACAGTAAGATTTAGTTTTTTTTTTAATGCTGTTTACATCAGACCGTGATCAGACATTTTGTAGACAGCAGGCTAAGACACAAGCTTGGATAATAGAGAAGCTAATTATTAACTAATCTAGCTAACATGGTGCTGTAATCACAATACTTATGATACAATTTCACCCTTTAATCACTGATGATTGACTTCCTTCTCCAAAGGATATTAGTGGAAACACCACTGATGAAGCAAATCCAATCGCATCGATCACAGCCATTTAAAAAGCTCCCTCCTCTCCCTCTGGTCTGTTTCTTTCCTCTCCTCCCCTCCCCTCTCACTTTGTTTCTCTCTCTCCTTTTCCACCCTGGTCTGTGTTGTTTCTCTTCTTCTTCTTCTTCTTCTTCTTCTTCTTCTTCTTCTTCTTCTTCTTCTTCTTCTTCTTCTTCTTCTTCTTCTTCTTCTTCTTCTTCGTGTGCAGCAGAGTTCTGGGTCCAGTGTCACCATGTCCAAGAGCCTGCCACCACTGTCCCCTCCAGATGACCCTCGGGTATCCCCAACGGCCCCTGTCACCTCCCAATCCCCACCCCAGGGGCCTGCAGGACTCTGCCCCACAAGTGTGGGGGCAATGCGAAGACACCACTCAGACAAGCACCCCTCTCTCTGCTCTCTGTCTTCAGGTAACAACCCGCATAGATGTCAACACAGTCCATACTGAATAGATGTACATAGCTTTGTCCCTGCTTCACTGTTGCTCCAGTCTTGTGATATGAGAAAGTAAATATTGTCCTTTGCATGTCCTTTTCAATATCATCTGTGACATGTATTTAATACTCAGGATCTTTGCTGAATATTAACCAAGCTGGTTGAAATATCCTTGTGAATGAAATTAACCAATTGTGCAATGTATTTATTTTTTAAATAGAAATTAGCCCAAATCATGAGATGTACAGAAATGCATATATCAGGCCACCTTTTACCTATGCTACGCTGATAAGACAGGTAAGAAGAAATTAACTTAACTTGTTAACTTGTAGTTTCCCCTGTAATCCCTGTGTAAAAAGGTGTATATCAGCAGTCGCCCCATTTGATGGGTTACAACCTACATGTTTTTATTGTCATCGTTTTAGGCTATAATGGATGCATCGGACATGCAGTTAACACTTAATGAGATATACAGCTGGTTTACACAGACCTTTGCCTACTTCAGACGCAATGCTGCAACGTGGAAGGTACTATACTGACTTAATCTTTGTTATAATGTTGGTTATGATTTACAAGTTGAAAATGATAGTGTACAGCATCCATATTAGGAAGTCGTCAGTTGTCAGTTTTGTCTGACAAGTGACGACTTCCTAATATGGATGCCATAATTGTGATAACGTCTCCCTTGAGTTCTGTATGTGCAGCCTTTTCTGACCCTATAATCCCTGTAAAACACACACAGAATGCAGTCCGCCACAACCTGAGCCTGCACAAGTGTTTTGTGCGTGTGGAAAACGTGAAGGGGGCCGTGTGGACAGTGGACGAGGTGGAGTACCAGAGAAGGAGGTCTCAGAAGATCACAAGGTATTGTATATTGGGTTGATACTTTTATAAAATGATATAGAGCATACAGTTATTTATTTATTTCACCTTTATTTACCCAAGCAAGTCAGTTAAGAACAAATTCTTATTTACAATGAAGAGAGTGTTATGACTCTAAATTGGCCTTTTATACAGTATTTTGTACACATACTGTATGTATTTGTTTTACGGAGGTCTATTCTAAAATGCACGGCTGTCCAGATTTTTTTAACTTTGTTTTGAAAGGAAAGAGATCGAACCAGTCAGATTTAATTCGTGTCAGTTAAACCTTGCCTCTAACTATATAATTTGCCTTTGAGTTGTATTGATTTACTGGCCCTTTATATGAAATGTACAGTATGAGAACATATTGCTATAACAACTTGTCATTTTGTAGAAGCCCAATGCTAGGGAAGAAACTTCTCTCCAGCCTGGCTTATGGGACTGCTCTTAATACCAGTTTAAAAGTGAGTGTACCTTTATTAATAATCTTCAGAACTGTTACAAAATGCATTTCACTGTACTTGTGCATGAACATTAAAACTTGAAACTTAATGATGTTAACTGTAAGGATTTCTTTCCTAATAATAATGTAAAATTAACACATTTGAAGAAAGACCTGTGTGAAGGCCAACTTACAGAAGAGGAACTTTTTGTAGCAATTAAATCTTTTCAGTCTGGAAAAACACCAGGGCTTGATGGTATACCAGCAGAGGTATATCAGCATGTTTTAATTAATCTATAAAAATGGTAGACTTTCAGGTACTCAACAAGAAGGTCTGATTTCATTACTACTAAAACAGGACCCAGGTGGTAAGTATAAAGATCCAGTCCATTTAAAAAAACTGGAGTCCTCTTACACTTCAATGTTGTGATGCGAAAATCCTGGCGAAATGCATAGCACATAGAATAAAAAACGTTTTACTAGATATTGTTCATCCTGATCAGACAGGTTTTTTACATGGACGATAGATAATATATGACAATTACTTAAACAATTGAACATTATGAAACATCAAAGATACCAGGCCTGTTCTTCATATAAGATTTTGAAAAGGTGTTTGATAAAGTATGACTAGAATCTATATATAAACGCCTGGATTACTTTAATTTTGGTGAATCTCTTACAGTGGAGGGAAAAAAGTATTTGATCCCCTGCTGATTTTGTACGTTTTCCCACTGACAAAGAAATGATCAGTCTATAATTGTAATGGTAGGTTTATTTGAACAGTGAGAGACAGAATAACAACAACAAAATCCAGAAAAACGCATGTCAAAAATGTTATAAATTGATTTGCATTTTAATGAGGGAAATAAGAATTTGACCCCCTCTCAATCAAAAAGATTTTTGGCTCCCAGGTGTCTTTTATACAGGTAACGAGCTGAGATTAGGAGCACACTCTTAAAGGGAGTGCTCCTAATCTCAGCTTGTTACCTGTATAAAAGACACCTGTCCACAGAAGCAATCAATCAATCAGATTCCAAACTCTCCACCATGGCCAAGACCAAAGAGCTCTCCAAGGATGTCAGGGACAAGATTGTAGAACTACACAAGGCTGGAATGGGCTACAAGACCATCGCCAAGAAGCTTGGTGAGAAGGTGACAACAGTTGGTGCGATTATTCGCAAATGGAAGAAACACAAAAGAACTGTCAATCTCCCTCGGCCTTGGGCTCCCTGCAAGATCTCACCTCGTGGAGTTGCAATGATCATGAGAACGGTGAGGAATCAGCCCAGAACTACACGGGAGGATCTTGTCAATGATCTCAAGGCAGCTGGGACCATAGTCACCAAGAAAACAATTGGTAACACACTACGCCGTGAAGGACTGAAATCCTGCAGTGCCTGCAAGGTCCCCCTGCTCAAGAAAGCACATATACAGGCTCGTCTGAAGTTTGCCAATGAACATCTGAATGATTCAGAGGAATTGGGTGAAAGTATTGTGGTCAGATGAGACCAAAATCGAGCTCTTTGGCATCAACTCAACTCGCCGGGTTTGGAGGAGGAGGAATGCTGCCTATGACCCCAAGAACACCATCCTCACCGTCAAACATGGAGGTTTGGGAGTGTTTTTCTGCTAAGGGGACAGGACAACTTCACCGCATCAAAGGGACGATGGACGGAGCCATGTACCGTCCAATCTTGGGAGAGAACCTCCTTCCCTCAGCCAGGGCATTGAAAATGGGTCGTGGATGGGTATTCCAGCATGACAATGACCCAAATCACACGGCCAAGGCAACAAAGGAGTGGCTCAAGAAGAAGCACATTAAGGTCCTGGAGTGGCCTTGCCAGTCTCCAGACCTTAATCCCATAGAACATCTGTGGAGGGAGCTGAAGGTTCGAGTTGCCAAACGTCAGCCTCGACACCTTAATGACTTGGAGAAGATCTGCAAAGAGGAGTGGACAAAATCCCTCCTGAGATGTGTGCAAACCTGGTGGCCAACTACAAGAAACGTCTGACCTCTGTGATTGCCAACAAGGGTTTTGCCACCAAGTACTAAGTCATGTTTTGCAGAGGGCTCAAATACTTATTTCCCTCATTAAAATGAAAATCAATGTATAACATTTTTGACATGCGTTTTTCTGGATTTTTTTGTTTGTATTCTGTCTCTCACTGTTCAAATAAACCTACCATTAAAATTATAGACTGATCATTTCTTTGTCAGTGGGTAAACGTACAAAATCAGCAGGGGATCAAATACTTTTTTCCCTCACTGTATGTCTGTAATTTAACAATGAAGTAAGGTATTGCGGAAGTTTGCACAAGAGGGCCTTTGTTTAAGGGCCTTATAAACAAAAAGAGAGCAGTGCATTGATCTACGAGACTTAAGAGAGGGCCAGCCTTGCTGATACAGAATGCAGTGATGTGTACTGAACCTATCGCCCATTATAAAGAATAGTGTGCTATGATAAACTGTGTCTAGTGGCTTTAATACAGTGGCAATTGCATTCATATAAACGATATCGCCATAGCCTAAAGCCGGAATGAATATAGACTGTATGATTTGTTTTTCTGCTTTTTAACAAAAGGCATGCCCTATTCAACAGAATGGGCAACAGAATACTCTGTAAATAATTTTGTATTTGAACCCAGGTCTGCAAGACGCTGATTATTTATTATTTACCTTTATTTAATCAGGGAGTCACCATTGAGACCAGTGTCTCTTTTACAATGGAGCCCTGCATATACTATTTCATAAAATACATACAAAATCAAATACAATATAAAATAAATAAAATACAGCATAACACATATTACACAAACAAACATAAATATACACAAAACACAGTCAACTAAAACAAATACATTCTTCGTTATAAAAATCCTCTGTCCACTGCCTGAACTGCACTAGGTACAATAACACATCAATTCAAAAAGTGTTTTTGGAGATAATTCCAAACATGTGGAGCAAGAAAACAAAAGGCTGACTTACCTAACTCTGTAGACACCAAAGGAGTCTCTAGAGTTAACCAACCCCGTGAACGTGTTTGATGACTTGTCATTTTAAATCTTAACAGAGAAGATGGGTAAGTCGGAAGCTTTGTAAACAAAAAGAGTGTAATGATGTGATCTACGTTCAAAGAGGTCCAGCCAACCTTTTGGAAAAGAATACAGTGATAGCATTGTGTCAAGTCACTCCAGTTCAAACTGACCGTGGCGTGTGCACAAAGTAGCCCATCATAACTTTTTCCAACTGATCTGTCAATGGCACCTGCTAAATTCAGGGCATCGATATTGTTGAGAAAAGTATCAAAACCTTTGTAGTTCTCGATGGCTGAAGTTATATCTTTCAAAAAAGTTGCGATAGAAAGGATTATCAACACATACTGAGCAGCTCACGTTATAGACAGAAAGAAGCATGCTACATGTGAGACCAATCCAAACTCATCTCCCGGCATGTCCAGCCCATCCATTATCTCAGCCAATCATGGCTAGCGGGAAGGTTCCTGTCTTTGTCTGTGTCTAAATCAACTAGGCTCGTAATTTAACAATTGTATTTGTGTTTACAGATGGAATACAAGTTTGTTATTAAGGCATATGAAGGTTCATATGTTCCAGAATACATTTCTGCCAAAAAAACGCATTTTGATAAACATCAAAAAAATGTTAAAATGCCTCTCCTGTGTGAGCTTCCTGAAAAGGGTCACATTTGACAGTTTTCCAGAATTTAGTTGGGTTCCCCTTACAATCAGAAAGATTGGTTACATAAGAATCAGAATTAGCCTTTTTGATATGTTTTACACATTGATCATCAGTTGCCTAAAATATTGCCAATCTGGGCCTAAACCTGTGTTCCTGGCCTTGACCCAGGCTAAATGTATCTTATGAATGACTTCGGATAAATCAGGAATGAACCAAGCATTCAATCTACCTTTAACTCTCAAGAAAGCTTAAAGCTAAGTCCGGTTCAGGGATAGCTGCGATACAATCAAGGTCACTAAAATAGCTTGTTCACTAAAGTTTTTTTAAGTTCCTCTTAGTGTTGACATGAGGCTTATGAGTGATACATCGTGTCATCCATTCCCTCCCAATCCCATCTAGTCAGGCTCCACTGACTGAGACTGATTTGACTGTATTAAAGAACAGGAGCCCTGCAGGCCTGATAGGCAGCAGTTATTTGGGTCTGGTACACGGGACCAAGTCACTGAAACATCCGGACCTCCAGGACACCAACGGACACCGCAGCCAACACTCCACTTCACTGGCCCAGCTGTGAGTATGTCACAGTATGTCACTGTTATGGTAAAGACATGACAGGTGTCATGTTGTCCCGGAAATCCCAGACCTGGGGCAACAGCACTAGGTCTAGGGAAAATTGGGAGTTTTATTGGCTACTTCAACAGACAACTCTTCCAACAAATCACGAGTTTGGGTAAGGCAGGGCTTAATAGAATATGGGCAGGAATTGGGCCCTTGAAAAATTATCCCATCGGAAACATGACAGAGGTGAACACAATATGGACGCAAAAAGCTAGGCTAATTATAGCCACAGCCAGTCAGTGGTGAAAAGTTTTTAACACTAACGTTAGCTGTCATAGCGAATGCAAGCTACTCACGTGTGAAATACACTCATTGAACATATCCTCCATGATATCCATTTATGGTGGGGTTGTTTATGCCAGGGCGCAAGCGTATAAGGGTGTGTACGGATTTCCTGCACGTCTATTTACGACATTAGTCTCTCTGCAGACGTGTATGCTGGAACAATGTTAAAGGTCAACTGCCCCTTAGGCTGTTTAAAATCATAGAAGTTGGTTCTAAGTGGCATCTATATAAGTCAGAAACATTAATTATAGTGTCAAAATTGACTACAAAATGTAAATAGGATAATTTTGGTTATAAAGTCAGTCTCGTCCAAAATTGAGTTTTGAGAGTTTGTCACGACTTACTGGAGGGTTGGGTATGGATGACTTACATGCCCACTTTTGCCAATGATGTCCCAATTGCCCAGAGACAACACGTTGTGGTCCGCCCCAGCTGCCATGTGGACATTTGTTGTAAAGTCTGCATATGGGTGCAACGCACGCACATTTCGCTCGGCAAATAGGAGTGAAAATGGGCTTCCATAAAGTTGGTGCAGACTTCCAATGCATTTCAACAATATTTCCAGATGGCCAGGAATGGATAACATCCGACACTTCTGCTGACTGTCAACTGTCAAACCGCTGATGTTGGTGAGTATGTTAGCTAAGTAGATAACTGGTTCAAGCTAGCCAGTAGCTACTTTTGGTTATACAACATTATTTGATAATGCTAGCGAGCCAGGCTAGCTATGATATAGAGCTCTGATACCCGACCCGAGCACGACATTATACATTGAGTTAGGGCCAGGTAGGGCCTGTTTTTTCATCAATAACTAGGGGACGTGAAGGGCTCTGGTATCACTAAATTGATCACTAACATTTTGAAGCTGAGCCATTTGCATGTGCTCTGCAGCGCAGTACAGTCATATCTGACTGAGAGCATAACATCATGTCAACCTCATCATATATAAAACAGGAGAGATTATTTCACAGAAAATAATAATGTAGAGTGAGCTGCGTGCAGGGAGCAAGTGACAGACCGAGAGGAACAGCTAATGGATTTACTAATGGGGGAAGTTATTTCTGATTTCGGGTTTCAGGCAGGGCCTTAAATTTGGCAGAAGCAATCGGGCCTGGGTAGGGTAGGGCCCGATTGCCTGGGTAGGGTTAAGGTTTAAAATTCATGCCCGTACAGGGTTCTACTATGATACCACAGATGAAAGAGGAATGATACTGTAGATAGCTAAATACATCAAGCTAACGTGTAATGTGATGTAGCATGTCAAGCCCCGTGTAGCTCAGTTGGTAGAGCATGGCGCTTGCAACGCCAGGGTTGTGGGTTTGATTCCCACGGGGGGCCAGTATGAAAATGTATGCACTCACTAACTGTAAGTCGCTCTGGATAAGAGCGTCTGCTAAATGACTAAAATGTAATGTCAGAGGAAGAGGTGCATAACTCACGTTAGCCAGCTACCTTGCTAACTGTAGCACATTGGCATTTAGGGTCAATACAGGGCAGGCACTGTGCCATTTGCCTGAGTGAGTAATGCCAACCAGTCAATGCCATGCTGGCACGTGTCCATTGTGAATCAGGATCTTTGATTGGCTGTTTAACCATGTATGTACTGTTGGCTTCCATGACTGTATGGTGACAGTCTTTCCTCACTCTGTGATATAGGAGCTGAAGTCGGGCTCCTTCATGACCAGTATCTGTGACGAGAGGGGCCTGGAGCTGATCTATGCTGCCATGACCATCAGGCATTGGCAAACACCTCAGAAGGGACAAAAGGTGACTACTACACTGAACATAAATATAAATGCAACATGTAAAGTGTTGGTCCCATGTTTCATGAGCTGAAATAAAAGATCCCAGAAATGTTCCAAATGCACAAAAAATGTATTTGTCTAACATTTTGGGCACAAATTTCTTTACATCCATGTTAGTGAGCATTTCTCCTTTGCCAAGATAATCCATCCACCTGACACGTGTGGCATATCAAGGTGTTTAAACAGCATGATCATTACACAGGTGGACCTTGTGCTGGCGACAATAAAAGGCCACTCTAAAATGTGCAATTTTGCAACACAACACAATGCCACAGATGTCTCAAGTTTTGAGGGAGCATGCAATTGGTATGCTGGCTGCAGTAATGTCCACCAGAGCTGTTGTCAGATAATTTAATGTTAATTTCTCTACCATAAGCCACCTCCAACATCGTTTTAGAGAATTTGGCAGTACCTCCAACCGGCCTCACAACCACAGACCAAGTGTATAGCGTCATGTGGGAAAGCGGTTTTCTGATGTCAACGTTGTGAACAGAGTGCCCCATGGTGGCAGTGGGGTTATGGTATGGGCAGGCATAAGCTACGGACAACGAACACAATTGCATTTTATCGATGGCAATTTAAATGCACAGAGATACCATGACGAGATCCTGAGGCCCATTGTCGTGCCATTCATCTGCCACCATCACCTCATGTTTCAGCATGATAATGCACGGCCCTGTGTCGCAAGGATCTGTACACAATTCCTGGAATCTGAAAATGTCCCAATTCTTCCATGGCCTGCATACTCACCAGACATGTCACCCATTGAGCACGTTTGGGATGCTCTGGTCAACGTGTACGACAGTGTGTTCCAGTTTCCGGCAATATCGAGCAACTTCGCACATCATTGAAGAGGAGTGGGACAACATTCAACAGGCCACGATCAACAGCCTGATCAACTCCATGCGAAGGAGTTGTGTCGCGCTGCATGAGGCAAATGGTGGTCACACTGACTGGTTTTCTGATCCACACCCCTACTTTTGGGGGGGTATCTTTGACCAATTGATGCATATCTGTATTCCCAGTCATGTGAAATCTAATGAATTTATTTGAATTGACGGATTTCCTTATTTGAACTGTAACTCAGTGAAATCTTTGGAATTGTTGCATGTTGCGTTTATACTTTTGTTCAGTATAATAAGACAGTACATCACAAGTGTTTAGTAATATCACCCTTTCAATACGTGTCACTCATCAACTCTTCCTCGTTTTTCTACAGATTGGCAGAAGAGATGCTTTTGAAATGGAGTCCTCTGACTGAAAAACTGGTTGATACTGATGTCTGAATTGGGAGAGACCTTGCACTCAGCATTAAAATTATAAAAGACACATCAATTACTTTTTATCGTCTTTTGTTATTATTTAATCAAATAGTACTATCAATATGGGGGGGTGTATTCTTCAAACATGTCAGGTATAATATTTGCACGTTGTTATATTAGCAGAACACTGCTTCTACAGTATTATGTGACGTATGGTTTACATGGAACTGTTACACTTGCAAGTTATCAAAACACTTTTTAGAATATCTACATAAGTTTAGCAAATGCACTCTTCATATTACTCTGTAGGCTACTGAACGATGCAAAGCTTCCCCCTTAATGAAGCTTTTAATTGGTCGATACCCTAAAGAGTGGTATGAGAAGTGTCATCCTCCTGCATCTCACATCTGCCTGTAGTTATTGAACTCTGCCTGCTGGACCCATGGTCTGAGGTAAACTCTGTCATATCCAGGACGGAGTGTTATGCACTCCACCCCTCCTGCACCTGTCCATAACCTGTAATAGATTACATAGACGTAAGGGACTTCATCACCAACTGGAGACAGAACCGTGCATGTCAGTGTGTGTTAGACAGCTATAGTTTAAATCTACACACAACCTATTTTTATTTGCGAGGTAAGTGTAGGTATACTGTCTTTATAAGCACATCAATATGCTATTTACAGCATCAAATGTTTTGTCTTTGTAACACGAACACACATCAATTTTTAGTTGGCCGTTGTTTGTGCAATGTCCACACACCTGTTGTAGGGATATTAGTAGTTCTGGGATTTGTCCCCAGGGAAAGATGAGATGAGACAACTAGCTGAGCTGACTCAAGATCAGGCATTCAACTCACCATTGATACTGTTTCCACGGTAACATGCATTAACTTGACGCAATGAAACATTGAAACTAAGTTGCAAGTTACTTCCGTAGCAAGGTGTTGTATGAAACGCATTCCTGACTCTTGCTATCTTGCCATAACTGATTTGACAGAGAAATGTCAGCTAGATAGGAAAGCCAGCTGCAGCTATTACAAAAATATGCAAACTAGCTGCTGCTAAACACAAGGTCAGTGCAGGCTTTAGCCTACACATAGAACTGAATTAGCAGACCATCTTGAGATGGCGAGTCAGTCAACTTTGTTCTCTCCATAGCAAAGCTAGCTTCGCTTACCTCGCTGTGCTCACTCCTGCCCTTGTTTGTTGTGATTGAATGGCAAAGACACATCCAAGAAACACCCACTGTGCTGCCAACGCCCAGTGGGCGTGAGACACGCATTTGACCCTTTTCACATACCGAAACAAATTTAAACGTGATTGTTTTAGTAAGGGTCCGAGACCAAGGCGATTGGATGCACGTTTGTAAAGAAATGCCCCTCACGATTAGAGTGGAGCAGGCAGCCACGGCAGACTGGACAGGCATGTTGATTTTCCACTGAACAACGTTTATGAACTCAAAATGTAATGTCAAAGGAGTAGCACGGCAACTTGTAGCGCTGTTTTGTACACATACTTGTCAACAAATTAATTCGCTGTCACTCCTGTTCCTGTCGCAGAATGCTTCCTTATGACATTATTCACCTCGTTTGGTCATGTAAA